CTGCCTGAGCAAGTGCCTTCACCTCTCTGAGCCTCAGTTTCCTCATGAGTAAAGTGGGAATAAACACCCCCCACCCCCCTCCCCACTGACCCTTGCGGGTGGTTGTGAGGATCAGAGAATTCATCAGAAGTGCTAAGCGTGGGCAGGCACATAAAGGCCTCTCTGATGTGTGTGGTGAACTTTGCCCAGTCCCTTCACCCTTTGTTCCCAAGCCCAGTACTCACTAAGAAAACACAAAACAAGGAATTCTTAACAATAGAGCTCACCTAGTATAGCTCACCTCTCTCTTTTTCCCCCCAAAATGCAGCAGAAAAATATCTCCAGTTCTCTGGGAAATTAATTTCTCAAGAAATACATAGAAATATGCTCAGTCTTGATCATAGGGTAAGGGAGGACAAAAATGAAACAAGTTGAAACCAGAGAAGGGAGACAAACCATAAGAGACTCTTAATCTCTGGAAATAAACTGAGGGTTGCTGGAGGGGAGGAGGGTTGGAGGGATGGGTTGTTGGGTGATGGATACTGGGAAGGGTATGTGCTATGGTGAGTGCTGTGAATTTTGTAGGACTGATGAATTACAGAGCCATACCCCCGAAACAATACATTATATTAATTTTTTTTTTAATTTTTAAAGTAGAAAGAGAGAAGAGTCAACATTGTTAAGTGGCTCTTGGTCTCCATATTCAAAATAAATTTAAAGCTATTTTTGGAAGAAAGGAATTACCCTTTCCCGAACATCTTTGGTGCATCAGGCTTCACATACATTATCTTATTTTAATCTGCAGACTTTAGTGACCAAAAAAGTCACTATGTGAGGGCGTTATTACTCTGTTGGTTGTCATCATCAAGTTTAAAATAACCTATGACTTTTGTCATTTCTACTGTCACAAAATAAACTTTATGCTCCTTAAAAAAAGATATGTTCAGACTTACATTCCAAATATGAAACTGAAGTCAAGGTATACAGCTGACCCTTGAATAATGCAAGGGTTAGGGATACCACCATCCCACACACTCTGAGGAGAGATGAAGATCCATATATAACTTTTTTTTTAAGATTTTTATTTATTGGGGCGCCTGGGTGGCTCAGTGGGTTAAGCCGCTGCCTTCGGCTCGGGTCATGATCTCGGAGTCCTGGGGTCAAGCCCCGCATCGGGCTCTCTGCTCAGCGGGGAGCCTGCTTCCTCCTCTCTCTCTGCCTCTCTCTCTGCCTGCTTGTGATCTCTCCCTGTCAAATAAATAAATAAATAAATAAATAAATAAATAAAAAAGATTTTTATTTATTTATTTGATAGACAGAGATCACAAGTAGGCAGAGAGGCAAGCAGAGAGGTGGGGGGCGGGAGCAGGCTCCCCGCCAAGCAGAGAGCCCGACTCGGGGCTCGATCCCAGGACCCTGGGATCATGACCTGAGCCAAAGGCAGAGGCTTAACCCACTGAGCCACCCAGGTGCCTCCATATATAACTTTTGACTCCCCCAAAAATTAACTACTAAATAACCTGCTGTTAACCAGAAGCCTTACCAATAACATAAACAGCCAACTAACACATCTTTTGTATAAGTATTACATACTGTATTCTTACAATAACATAACCTGGTAAAAAGAAAATGTTATTAAAATCATAAGGAAGAGAAAATACATTTACAGTTCGGTGCTGTATTTATTGAAAAAAAAAATTTCGTGTAAGCGGACTCTCAGAGTTCAAAACCATGTTTTTTGAGGATCAGCTGTAGTGGTTTTCCCTATTAGATTAATGATAATATCTTGTTGATGAGAGTGTGGGTAAAGGTAATTCACATACCTTTCTGGGGACAATAAAGTTTGAAACAGACTGTCTAGAGGTCAATTTGGCAAATTTGGCAATGCATGTCAAATGCTAACATGTAGATATTTCTTAGATCATGGAATTCTGCTTAAGGAATCTGCCTTATAAAAATAGCACAAATACATAAAGGATATTCACTGAAGCACTTTTTGTAATAGCCAGGCACTGGAAACTATTTTAATGTCCATCAGTGGGAGGTTGATTAAATCCATGTGGTCCATCTGGACCATGGGATACTAACTCTGCACTCATTAAAGAGAAAGAAAGATTTTGGGGTGATGGAAATATTTTGTAAGTACACAGAGGTGGTGTTTGCACAACATTGTGAACGTGCTGAAGACCACCAAATTGTTCACAAAAATGGTTAATTATGTTATGTGAAATTTACCCTTATAAATTTTTTTTTTTGAAGAATGAGTCTTACGTGCTAATACGGAGGGACATACTGTTGAGTGAGGAGAGAAAACACTGTTTTCTGTGACTGTTGGCAGGCAAATGGCATTTAAAAGTTCTGGAAAGATCTAGAACAGGCTTAATAGCAGTTACTTTTGGAAAGTAGACAGGAGAACAGGGGGAATTTGTACTTAGTTTTATATACTTTTGTAATGTATAAAAAATGTTTATACTTTTATAATGTATGAAAATTTGAAGTTAGCATAAATTACTTGAGAATTGGTGGTGGGGAGGGGGGAATTTGAAGTTGGTCAGGGGTTGAAACTGTTACCACGTGGGCGGTTGAGTCTCTCCAGTGAAAGTGGAAAATGTCTTTTATTTTGAATCTTATTTTTGTGTTTTCCTCTCGTTCTGCTCTTTAATTCCCACCCCGGCTGTAATCAGAACCAAAAACTGAGATCAGTGAGTAACCTGATGACTCACTTTGCTTGTTTTGACCCTTCCGTGCCTGTGGCTAATTGATTCTGAGTGCCGAGGATCTGCGGCATTAGTCTGGTCACTGTTTATAAGGGCCTATTTTCAAGAGATCACAAGGATTTGTGAGATATCATTAGTAAACCACGTATTTGGTGCAAGTTCTTTCTTGACCAGCATCGGGGGCTGGTCCAATGATCATGAGCTCACTAATGAGCCCAGGGGCTCTTGGAAGCCTGAGGAACTCAGGTTGCTACTTGCAAACAGCTAACTTCCTGCTTCAAGAGGGTTGTGATAATACCTTGAAGCCCCTTGGAGATTTCTTTTTACATTTTTCATTTATTCATTTTCTCTTAAATTATAAAAAATTTATAAAATAGGAAAAAAAGTCACCTATCATGTCATCAGGCAAAAACAATAGAATTTTCTGGCATTCCTTTCATATCTTTGCTCGTGTCCTTTTTTTCATAACTAGAAACAGTATTCATATGCTGATTTTAGTTTTAACTTACATAGAAGGGATTTTTAGCTGTTAAAGTGGTCTCAGAATTGTCCAATTGGCTAGATAATATACATCAAGCAGATGAATTATAACTTATTTAACAATGCCATTATGTTGAATAGCTCCCTTAAAATTTTCTTTGCTTTCTTAAATTTTATTGTTGAATCTCAAAATATTTGGAAGCTGCCTTAGAATATCTTAATGATGACAGCTCATATGTCACATGCAAAATCAGTTCTTCCCCTCAGGAAGTTTATAGGTCAGAGCAGGTGACCAATCAGTGTAATAAAATGTGATCATTGCTATATCAGAGATATGTACAAATTGCTCTGGGAAAGTGGTGAAGGTTTCTTAGAGAAGTTTGAGTTATATCCTGAGGACACTTAGGAGTTAGCCAGCTAATAAATGAAAGAAAAGCTTCCCAGGAAAAGAAGAGGGCTTAAAGATAGTACAGAGGGATGGCAAAGCATGAGGCTTTTAGAAAGTGGCAGATTGCCTAGTAGGGCTGGAGAACAGAGGGCTCACAGGTGAGTGGCAGGAGGTGATTCTAGATATATAGATTGTGGTCAGATTACAAGAGGCCTTCTATGCCAAACTAAGGAGTTGGAACTTCTGAAGGCCATAGCTATGTGGCCACAGCCATGTCTACTAAATTAGAATGTGGTTTTGAGCACAACACCATCTTACTGCTTTGGCAAAGTTCCCAATAAGAGTGTTGAAATCTAGGTTGAAGGCTAAAGATGATGCACTTAGCTTTCTTCTTGATCATTTGTACTCATCATCCGAAGGCCCTGTGATAGCATGTTTCAGCCACAAGAGTGGACTTCGGGTAGTCAGACCATCCCAAAGTCTACCAGCGCCTCTTTGGAAAATAAGAAAATACCTTAGGGACAGGCATCATTTGCCGTCAAGATGGTATTTAATATACGTATTAGTTGGTACTTTTCAAATCGACAGAATCCCAACTGAGGTTAACGTAAACGGAAGAGGGAATGTACTGGCCCCTTAATCTAAGAGTGGTTCTTTCTGGCTTCTTGCAGAAGCCAGTGGGATCCCCCCAGTGGGATCCAGGGCCTTAAACAGTGTGGGTAAAGCTTGCTCCCTCCCTCCATCGATCTCTCTCCCTCTGTCCTTCATGCTGTGTGTCCTTTTATTCTCCTTGAATACTAACTAGACTTATCCACATGACAAGAGAGAGCTGCCGCAAGAAATTCCTGCTTATTTTATCTCGAGTTCACAATACTAAAGGAGTAAAGACCCTTCCGCTCATTCTCCCATGAACCGCTTAGCACATTTCGGAAAATCAGGAGCCCATCCCTGAACGAGGGTGGAGGATGATTCTGACTGGTCAGGTCTGGGGCATCCCACCCAAACTGTGCACCAAGTGGGATACCCAAGGACAGCAGGCTTCTGTTCCTCCGTGAAGGAGGAGAGTGGGAGGACAGGCCAGATGTAAAGGACATCCCCTGCTGTTAACCCTTGCTCTTCTGAAGAAGGGGAGTGTCCACTGGAAACAAGTGGATCCTGTGGCTTCTCTGAGAGCTGCCTTTGTGGCTGTTTCTGTGCTGTGTCCAGGTCTTACAGAACGGATACTCCCAGGACATGTGGGAACGCAGCCCCTTTGCCCAATTTCCCTTAGCACGTAGGTGCAAGCAAATACCCCACTTCCCAAAAGGCCTTGTGGCATTGTCCTCTCTTTCTTGTGAGTATCTGATTTATGTTCTGTCAGTGACAGGAAGCTGCTGTAACGATCCACCCAAGTCCTGCCACAGCCCCCGTGATGGTTTGTTTTTCTCATTGTTTAGCGTTCTATCAGCTTCCGCAGCGAGAGCCGTCCTGACATCCTCGCCCCCCGACCCTGGTCCAGAAATGCCGCCTCCTCAAGCACAAAGCGGAGAGACAGCAAGCTGTGGAGTGAGACCTTTGATGTGTGCGTCAATCAGATGCTTCCGTCCAAGGAAATCAAACGTCAGGAGGTAGGCTCAGGACCCAGGAGTTGGCCCTGTGTTTGGAACGAAGTGTGCTACAGGCGAGAGCCAAACTGCGTCTATACCACAAGCTCCCAGTCAGTTCTTCGTTGCATTTGTAGGAGGACAAACAGGGCTGTCGTGCCTTGTAAGGAACTGAGAACCCAGCATCCAGCTGGGTGGGTGGCCCCTGCTTTAAAAAGAAACTAATGTGAACATCTGAATTTACAAAGAAAATGAATCAGGAAGTGTCTATTTAGCTTCTCGGAGCTCACAAAAATAATCACTTGAGTTATATTTTAATAGCAACTTCTAGAATATTTTAAAATAGTTTATGAAACTTTGATTCAGTATTGTGGAGAACATATCTAGGGAATGCAGCTCATTTCATGACTTGTCAGTTTTCTGTATCAGTAGCTCTAAATGACTACGGTCATATTACCCTCTATAGAAACTTGTCAAATGCCAGGCTGTGCCAAAGCACATCTAGTGCATTATCTGGTGAAACCCTTGGAACATCTATTTTTGTGGAAAACCTGACATTGGCAAAAGGAATACTTGACAAGTTTCTAGGTTTGGGCTAAGCAATTCCTTTCTAGGAATCTGTCTGCCAGACACACTTAACACAGAAGAAAAGATATATATGTAAGCTTATTCATCACACTAATGCTTGTAATAGTGCTGGAAAGAGCCTGAACTTCTATTGCCAGGAACTGGCTGAATAATGAATATGTATTAGATACACATGGAATACAATGTAGCAATAGCAAGAGGGGCTGATAGGCATGTATGGCTTAAGTGTGTGAGGCAAGGCACAAAATAGGGTATATTATGTCCTTTTACCATCTATGTGAAAGAACAAAGAAAAACGAATATATGTGTGTAGGTGCACATATTTGCTTATAGAATCAAAATGTATTTCTAGAAGGATTTGCAATAATATTGTTGCCTCCTGGGAAGGAACTGGGTGGCTGGTTAGAGGTAAGAAAGAAAATTGTCACCATGTGCCCCTTTTTGCACTATAAATTTTGATCTGTGTTAATGCATTACCTATTTAAAAGAAATAATAAAGCATTTTAAAATAATACGTATACTGAAAAAAAATCTGTGAAGAAATATGGTGAAACCCTAACAATAGTTAACAAGATGGTATTATGGGTACATTAAAATTTTCCACTTTGTGCTTTCTTGTGTTTTTCCAAGTGTTAACTGTATGCATATAACTAGTGTGATCTGGCAGTGGGAGGGAAGGAAAGAGGGAGGAACTGGTTCTGCAGATTGGGAGATTATTAAGCTACAGTGAATACAAGTTCACCCATCTAGAAAGTTACAGAGCTGCTATTTGAACCCAGGCCCTGCCCTACTCCAGAGCCCATGGTCTTCATGGTGACACTGTGCTGCCCCACAATAGACATCTGACGGTGATGTTTCCCAGTATGGGGGTTCTATGGTTTTCCTTTCCTGGGGACCACATTTGGTCAGTTGGACCATTAGACCTATTCAAATAAACTCTAGTAAAACAGATGTACAAGGAAATCTGAGGAAGGTCTAAGTAAAGTCTAGTCAGTGTATTGAGCCAATCCATTTCCTGGTTTGATAACATTCTATAGTTCTGGAAGGTGAGTAGAAGGGGCAGAGGACCTTGCTGTTCTATGTTTACAACTTCTCCGTGAGTATGTAATTATTTCATAATAAAAGGTTCAACGGGGCACGTAGGTGGTTTAGTCATGGGGTGTCTGCCTTCAGCTCGGGTCATGATCCCAGGGTCCTGGGACTGAGACCGGCATCGGGCTCCCTGCTCAGTGGGGAGTCTGCTTCTCCCTCTCCCACTCCTCATGCTTATGTTCCCTCTCTCGATGTCTCTCTCTGTGTCAAATAAAAAAAAAAAATGAATGAATGAATGAATGATTGGTTCAACAAAATAGAACACCAGGTGGGCATGATGTGGAGGCTTTACTGGGCCTGGGGAGGACTTACCATGCACTGGCCTCCAGCACGGTGTTCTGCCTCCATCTGCATTACCTGAGAGCAAACTCCTTGTCTTATACTCCATCCACCCCCGAGATGGAAGGTGCTCTCCGGCCTGCTCACTTCTTCCCTTTAGTCTGAAAGAAATGTAGGAGTCCCCAAACCATCACTCCTATTAAAGGACTAAACATAGAGGCCTTTAACAATGTTTGCCAACAGTTTAGACTCCCAGATGAAAGAGTGAAAGAGTATTCTGCACATCATAGCTCTTAAATTATGATGGTTTAATAGAGCCAAATTAGAAACGGTCCATTTACACACTCTTACACACAGCTGGCGCCTATAATTTTATTTATTGTACCATGTAGGGCTGAGAAGTAATTTAGAATGAATTAACTTCACCAGACATTTAGAGTGATAAAATATTGGATTCTTCCTGCAATTCCAGCCTCAAGACAAGTGGCTGATAAGAATAAAGCTTTCTGCTAAGATTCACCTTCTGTTGAGTAGAACAAAGACAAATTGTGATGGCCCAATTCACAATACTGCCATGACCATCACTGATAACAGACCTGAAATTATTTGTGATGGTTGCTGCACACATGAGAGACCCAAACTCCCACTGTCATTATTTTGCCTAAAATACTTCCCTCTTGTTTGGCTGCACCCAAGTTCTGTAACATGACGGATGACTTACTGGGTTGGAAACATATGTGGAACCCCTTTCTCCCATAAATGGGTGAGTACATTATACAGAAGTTTTGCAAAATTCTTCCTTTATAGGTTTTAGCTACTTAGACGCATTTGCTGCAGGTTAATTTAACTTTTTAAAGAATCCTTTAAAAATGCTTAAGAAATGAGTAGATCTGGGACTTTGAGCAACAGAACCAGCACTGTTTGAATTTGGGCTCATAAATGGAGTGTTCAGTGAACGTGTTCTGTCTTTGCTTGCAGGCAATCTTTGAGCTTTCCCAAGGAGAAGAAGACTTGATAGAGGACTTGAAATTGGCAAAAAAGGTGAATTTGAAACCAGTGGTCATTTGGGCCACCTTCTTTTTTCTTTTTTTTTCCTCATGAGTAATTTCACAATTCTGAGATTATGCCTTATGAGCATTCTTTTTACGACTGAGTCAGGTCATCAACAATTGAGAAGAAGCTGCACAAACCAAGTGGTGGGGAAATGGCTCAAAACAAGAAGGTTCTCAAAAAACAAAGCAAAACAAAACAAAAAAAACAAGAAGGTTCTCTAGACCTGGTAGCTGTAGGGTTTCTCCTGTGCATGTCTCTAATGCACCTCAAAGGATACTTGAGTTTAGTCAGGAAGTGTTCATAGAGAGCGGCCTGGCTTTCCCTATATTTCATTGTCTCTCCTGCGGAGCCTCCTAACCCACAGGAGAGAGCGTGCAGACATCTGAAACTGGAACGGTGTCTTAGAAATAAAGTCACTTGAATCTCCTAAGTAGAGAAAGTTGTCAAGCGAGGTGACAGCGTACTATCATGTGACATGCGGTCTTTTATATAGAACTTGTGTTTTAATCACACTGTGTGCCGGAAGGGAGAAGAAACCCATGCTTTGTAACCTGTGCTATCTGGACAAGAAACTTTTTCCTCAAAATCTTTCCGTCCCAGTGACCCCACCCCCCACCCCCCAAAGTCTGAAATCCAGACCTCTTTGTCTCATATTTGCAGCCCCCTTTAAAGAATCACAAGGTTTGGGACACCTGAGTGGCTCAGTAAGTAAGCATCTGCCTTCGGCTCAGGTCATGATCCCAGGGTCCTGGGATCGAATCCTGCGTTGGGTTCCCTGCTCAGAGGGAAGCCTACTTCCTTCTCTCCCACTCCCCCTGCTTATGTTCTCTCTCTTACTCTCTTTCTGTCAAATAAATAAATAAAATCTTAAAAAAAAAAAAAAAGAAATACAAGGTTGGAAAGAATCCTTAGTCCCTTCTTTCAAGTGTCCTTAGTCCAGATTCCTGCTGATATAAAGTCCTGTCTGTAGCAGTCCCAGGAGATAGCCATCCGCACTTTGCTTGGACACAGCCAAGAAACTGAGTTTTTAGACAGGGCTGGAGGAGGAGGAAGATGGAGCTGACAAAAAGACATTTAACTCTGTAAGACATCTTGCTGTGCATTTGTTCAGCTCCTCCTTCCTGTATGAAGATTCCCCAAAGCTGAGCACTGTAAGGATGTTTTACTGCCATCCTTTTGCTTACAGTGGTTCTACCTTCTTGGAAACCCTTCCTTTCCTTCAACCATCCATATCCAGCTGTCCTCCAGGAACTAGCTCAGATCTCAGTTCTTTCTGCACCAGTACTTATGCCTCCTTCTCCATCCCAGGCATGCCAGCCAGACAGCTCTTCTTAAATCTCCCTGGACCGCTACAACTTTAATTCTCTCACCTCTAAGCAGTTGTAATTGGATCAGTTTTTGCTGCTATGTGACATCCCTTGTGTTTTTAGTCTTGAGATTTTAAAAACGTATATATCTAATTATCCACGAGTTTTTCTTATCTCCCGATTAGCTTTATAAATCTACATGGAGGCAGGGACTGTGCCATCTGAGTCTTTGTACTCTATTACAGCTGGGTATAATTGTGTGTTCTTGTACAAGTATCATTAATAGGCGCGCCTGGGTGCCTCAGTCGTTAAGTGTCTGCCTTCGGCTCTGGTCATGATCCCAGGGCGCTGGGATTGAGTCCCACATTGAACCCCCTGCTCAGCGGAAGCCTGCCTCTCACTCTCTCACTCCCCCTGCTTGTGTTCTCTCACTCACTGTCTGTCTCTGTCAAATAAATAAAATCTTTTTAAAAAATTACCGTTAATAAGAGAAGATAAAATTGACAGATTTTGGTCTTTTGGCTTTGGAACAGTCATAAAGGATGCAATCACTTTTCTTTTTCCTTTCTTCCTTTACTTAGTTTAAATATGGACTCATTGAAAAAGAACCTACTAGTAACAAATGCTGTATAAATTTGGAGTTTTTCAAGCTACAAGATCTCCAATACGTTAAATTTTAAAACGTTAAATTTTAAAACATTATACAACTCAGATCAGCTCTGTACTTAGGATTTGTGCCCTTGCCTAGGTATATGATATACTAGAATAAAAAAGCTTTTTAAAAAATCTGCTTTGGTTTATCAAAAACCACAAACAGCTCAAGGCAATCCTGGATTCTCATCTGGTCTGGCCACACCCATCTGCTGTCTCTGCAGCGTTCTGGAAGAAGTTGCTGGAGAGAGCCAAATATTTTGTTATAATGTGGGGCCTCACAGACACCAATGCCATTTACATTAACCACTTGCTTCTACGGATTTTAAATGTTTGCTTCTGTCTCTTGCCCTTCTTGTACAGGCCTATCATGACCCCATGCTGAAACTCTCCATAATGACAGAACAAGAGTTGAATCAAATCTTTGGAACACTGGACTCTCTCATTCCTCTACACGAAGGTATAATTTTGTTCCCAGAATGAGTCATGACTTGTAGCCTTAATTGAGTTGTCCTACAACAAGTCATGATTATGTAATAATGTGATTAACCCAGAATCTACTTCCAGTCTTGTTCATATTTGAATGCCTAACAAAATAAGCATTCTGTTTTTGTTTTTTGTTTTTTTTGTATGTCTTTTTTTTTTTTTTTTTTTAACCAGAGCTTCTTAGTCAACTTCGAGATGCTCGGAAGCCTGATGGTTCCACCGAACATGTTGGTCCCATCCTCGTGGGCTGGGTAAGAAAAGTTCTTCAGTCTTGATTGAGAATAAATTTCAATAACGTAGATAGAGCTTCATTTTAGCTAGACTTTTTGTATTGGCAAATGTTGGCTTTATGTCAGAAACGGCAAATTCCTAGCAAAATTTATCATATTTAGGCTTTATCTCTGCAGTGCATGGAAACAATTTTTTTTTCTTAACATAAATTTGCAGTATTTGAAGATAACATGGCCTTTTTGCAATAAGTAAAGGCACAAATGATTACCAGCTTTATATCAAATAAAGTAAAACTAGTTTATATTCAATTGAGGCCAATTACTAATAATATAATTATTATCATTTCTATTCCAGTAAATATTCACAGATATATTCTTATCCATATCACCAAAAAAAAAAAAAAAAAAAAAGGTGCTTTCATTCAGGCTCCAAAAAGCTCTCGTGGTAAAATGTAGTTTCATACACAAGGTAATACTAAATGCTATTAATGTTTAGCTTATATCTGATTCTGAGTAACTTCATAGGAAGGCTTGGTATTGTGCTGACCTTCCTCCCAAATAACCCATTCCCTTTCCTAATTAAACAAAGAAATCAGCTGGGACCTTAGATGTGGGGTTCTAAATTTATGGTCTTGGGGCTGAATTTGTGTTTCCTTGGGTACATAATGTGGTTGTTCATTCATTTAATGTACTTTATTTTTTTTTAAGATTTTATTTATTTATTTGACAAAGACAGAGAGATCACAAGTAGACAGAGAGGCAGGCAGAGAGAGAGAGGGAAGCAGGCTCCCTGCCGAGCAGAGAGCCAGATGCAGGGCTCGATCCCAGGACCCTGAGATCATGACCTGAGCCAAAGGCAGAGGCTTTAACCCACTGAGCCACCCAGGCGCCCCCATTTAATGTACTTTAGACCAGACATGAATTTCCTATTTTGCTGCAGTCCCCACCATTCCCTATTAATACACCTCTCTTTCCTTCAAGTCCTTGAGTGTACCTCCCCAGCTCCAGGTGGTATTCATTTGTTAGGCAGATTACTTTGATGACCTCTTCCAGGTAGGATTAGCTCTCTCATCTCTCTGATCCACAAAGTCTTCCAGAAAAACAGGCAGGAAATGCCAGAACAGGCAGCATTAGAGTCATTCCACTGTTTGCGGAATGTTGTGAAGGTCATAAATCCTACTATCACCATGTGAGTTCTCTTGATCCAGTTACATCTGTAGTTATATTTTAACCTTCCTGTGTTTTGATGTTGCTCTCTTATCCTAACTTCTGCTTTTCGATTATAGCCTCGATCAAGAAAGTTTGAGTGTTTCATGCCTTAGATAGCTTTAATTTAGAAGTCACTTTTAGCACTGAGGCCGACATACCCCAAGGGCATCCAAAAGGCAAGCAATGTTCTAAGATGAATAATTTAGAAAATGTGACTTAATATTTCAGGAGAGATCATTCGTCTTATATTTTTGACTTTCATTTTATTATAAGATGTGGTAGATGTTTTAACTTCTTTAACCTTCAAAGAAATTTCTCTAAAGAGAGCCTGCCAGCTGGAGAGAGGGAAGGTGTAATGAGAAGAGAGATTCTGCCTCAGTTTTCTTAAACCTCCTGAGGCTCTGGGCTGCTTTGATGGGCATGGGGGACCAGTGAGGCCACACTCCAGAATTAGCACGATGCCTCCTCTGTTGTTGACAAGATAGCGATGTAGAACGACAGGTTTCCTTAGGCATCATATACGCATTGTCAGTTCACACCAGACGCAGAAGTGGAGGCATTTGCCTTTTCGTTAATATTTTTATGAAATAAATGTTTGCTACTTTTATTAGGAAATTGGCTTGATCTGGGGGTGGCTTTTGCAGGTCTTTTCTGTACATACCCGGAGGAAATGTGACCACTTCCACTGCTATCTGAACCCTTCAGACATCAAATGGGGACTTAAAGCTTGAAAAGCAGCCTAAAATTAAACAACTGGCCCATTGTGACCAGATCTCATGAGAAACGGCCCTTATTTATCAGGCCTGACGAGCTGTTAAATGTTTTCCCACTTTTAACTGCAGATGTGCCCACGCGAGTGGGAACTGTAAACCAAGGGGTACATCTGTTTGAGTTCTGGTCTTTTTAACAGAACAAAATAAACATCTGAGGGGACTTTGAATGAGAAAAGTCAGAGCCCATTCGACCCATGAAAAATTGATTTATTCGCTGTTCCTCCTCCCAAACCCTCCCAGGAAAAAAAAGGTGGGGGAAAAAAGCCCTTTTAACAAGGAGCCTCCCAAGCAGGACAGGCCTGGCCAGTCCTTTTGACCTTAGAATGAATCAATTCCTTGTACTTTGAAGGCTCAGCTGAAGCAGAGTGGTGGTTTCCTCAGGGTGCCTTACTGGTCACTGAGGATGCATCTCCCGGCGGGTAGACCTGATCCCATACACTTCCCCTGTTGGATAGAAACAACTTCCCAAGCGACTTCTCTTCATGCTAACGTTTTTTCAGTAATAAATTTATATAATTTAATAAATTTAAATAATTTACAAGCTCTCCAGGCAGCAAGTTCTCATGTTAATTTGGGTTCTAATTAAATTTTAATTCTATAGAGAGAGGCCGGGTACATGGAAGCAGAAAAAAAAAATGGATTTGTTCTGTCGCTTTTCACAAGCTTAGGGAGATAGAAAGAATTTCTAAAGCAAGTGAAAGAGTTTCCTTTATAAATTCTTGATGGTCTATTTAAAGAGATGTCAAGGAGTTCAGAGCTTTGGGGGAAGGGTGAGGGAAGAACATTCAGCCGACCGGTTTTGTATCTAGCTGAGCAAGTAGTTTTGCTTCTCTAAACCACAATTTCTTCAGTAAAAATATCCTAGGGATAAATAATAACAAAAAAAATATTTTTTTACTAATTATACTTTTGCTTTAATAGCTGTCCTTACAGATTCTTACCCAGAAGCCAAGCTCTTACATTTTTTGTCTGCCTTATCTCATTAAAAGATAGGAGGAAAGTAGTATATGCATTTTTAAGTGGGGAAATTGAGGCTCAGATGGGTCACCTGGCTAGTTACTGTCCAGGTTAGGCTTTGAGCGTGACTGTCCCTGGTTCCAGAGTCTGCCTGCTAAACCACTGTGGTATCACCTCTCACACTTTATGTAAGCGAATATGTGTGTATTTGGGAACAAAGAAGTATACATTCTTTCTTTCAAGTTATCTCTTGTGGCCCTTTCTAGCCAGTGGGGTTGAACCAGATAGCCTTCAGGTCATGCCCAGGAAATGAGCACCCTGTCAGGTGTGAACAGGACCAGAGCTGGATCGGGTTGCCATGGCAGTGGGGGCGGCAGGATCAGAGAGTGATGGCCCATTGGACAGTGGGTGGCAGTGTGGTCAGAGTTCCTCACCGGTTTGCATCTGATAGTTACTGCTGATTTGTTTCTCCATAATGAAAACATTGGGCATTTCCAGGTCTTTTTAAAAAGCGAGGAAGTGGAAATGAAATTAAGAGGACCTGAAGCTCTTTTTAATTAACTCTGAAAGTCTAAATTACAAGCCACAATACCACATCTAGGGTGTGTGTGTGTGTGTGTGTGTGTGTGTGTGTGGCAATTATCATTACTTTCAAATGTAAGGTTGAGGAAAGAATTTCTGCAGCTCTTTTTAACACAAATAAAAGCGTTTTTTTTAATGACACATAAGGAAGGTAGACATTTCCAAAGAACGTTAAACTTGACAGTGAATTTAAACATTACTTCCTTGGTATCTTTTTTTTTTTTAAGATTTTATTTATTTATTTGACAGAGAGAGAGATCACAAGTAGGCAGAGAAGCAGGCAGAGAGAGAGGAGGAAGCGGGCTCCCCACTGAGCAGAGAGCCCGGCTCGGGGCTCGATCCCAGGACCCTGGGATCACGACCTGAGCCAAAGGCAGAGGCTTTAACCCACTGAGCCACCCAGGTGCCCCCCGCCTTTTTTTTTTTTTGGTTTCAGTTGCTGAGAAAATAATTTCAATAAGAGGTAGAAAAGGAGCACCAGAAATGTTTACACTTTGATGCATTGTTCGGATGCTGCCACAATTTATTTCTAAGCCATGTTCCCAGGCCATCAAATGTTACCTAATCTGGACACCTTAAACATCCATTTATTTGTTCATTTGGAATATAAACTTTGAATGTCTGTGGATGGCAGGCCCAATGCAACGTATTGAGGATGCAGAACTTAGGAAGGAGTGGAAAAGAGAGATGACCGCCTTCCTACTGGGGACGTCAACTCTTTGTTTGCACAAAGTGACTAATGGGACATGTCAGGGAAATTAGTATTTTGCTGGAAGGAAGATAGTGGAGTTGAAGCGTTCCAAAGTCTTTAGGCTTAAATGTTCTTTGCACGGTGTTGTGATGTTAACCATGAGGTATAGACAGGAATCCAGCTTAAAAGATTTTTCTAAATGCTTCCTGCATCTATTTTTTTACTAATTATACTTTTGCTCTCACTTCTTGGCATTCTTTACGGTTGGCCCGCCTTGAAATCAGGTCACCTTCAGCTAACAACATAGAGATGCTCGCACCAGGCCACGCAAATGGCTGGGGCACGAAGTCCGACTCCTTGCTTTTTTATACCCCTAAGTCCTCCAGATGAGTTTCCTGTGAATAATTTTAAAAGAAGTCCTGTTTGTTTGTTTTTAAAGATAGGAAGCTTTCCCCTCACCAGACACCTTTGGAAGTGCAGGAAAATTTTGAGCTGTATGCGTGTGTGGTTTTTCTGGTTCTTTTGTTCCAACTTAGACTGGCAGAAATGCAAACAAATTATGATGGGGTCTTAAAAATCAAGAAAGTAAATGTAGGGGCGCCTGGGTGGCTCAGTCGGTTAAGCACCTGCCTTCGGCTCAGGTCATGATCTCAGGGTTTTGGGATCGAGCCCCGAGTTAGGCTCTCTGCTCAGCGGGGAGCCTGCTTCCCTTCCTCTCTCTCTGCCTTCCTCTCTGCCTACTTTTGATCTCTGTCTGTCAAATAAAAAAATAAAATCTTAAAAAAAAATGTAAATCTACAGCTAAGAAAGTAACTTCACACAAGTAAGCCCAAACCTAAAAACTGTTCATTGCCTGTGATTTTGGAAGATTGCCCTTGTCTGTCTCGTCCAGCCATGCAGATAAAGGAACATTGGCCAGGCCTGGAGACCAGCAGGGTTTTTTTCAGGCTACACAAGTGATACTCGCGTGTAGCTTCAGAGCACAGTTAGCTCCACACTCCAACCGTGTTTTGATGTTCCTTTCTTAGCTGCCTTGTCTCAGCTCCTACGACAGCTATTGCAGCAATCAAGTGGCCGCGAAAGCTCTGCTGGACCACAAAAAACAAGACCACCGAGTCCAGGATTTCCTACAGCGATGCTTAGAATCCCCCTTTAGCCGCAAGCTGGATCTCTGGAATTTTCTCGATATTCCAAGGAGCCGTCTAGTGAAATACCCCCTTCTTCTTCGAGAAATCTTGAGGCACACACCAAATGATAATCCAGATCAGCAGCACCTGGAAGAAGCTGTAAGTTCACCTGTTTCTTTCTGTCTTTACCTTGTTTTCTCCCTTGTGTCTAGGAAGTTGGGTGCGTGGTGAATGAAGGGTCTCTGGGCACAGAGTACCCAGGGGTCTTGGCTTCCATGCTTGGTGCTGCCATCAGTCGTGTTTTAATTTTGCAGTTCACTCCTTCTCTCTCTGCCTCACTCCCCCAACCTATAAAATGCAGTGTTTATGTGAAATACACCCTAAGGTCGCTTTGATTTCTCAAAGTTCTTGATTCTGTGTAGCTGACTCTGTAATCTGTAATTACAATTCATAATAAACTATAATCTGTTTGTTCACAGTGGCTGTGAGGGTTAAGATCTCTGGGGATTTTGAATTGAGTATCTTTGTTTAGCGAGCAAATGGGAGTTGCCTCTTACCTTAGCGCCTGGGAGCCCATTTGTGACGTCGACACCCATTTCAGAACCAGCTCTCCTCAGCCACTGACTGCAGTGAGGGACCGACCTAGTCAAACCTCCTGCTCACCAGAAAATGTTCATTAAGTATGAAGAGAGATTCTTTCCAACAGCAATAGAAGACCAGGAGAAATGGATCTGTCTCATGAGAATATTGTGAATGTTGTGAATAGGGAGTGTTCTGTCCAGAGAGCTTGGTTCTAATTGGGGTACTCTGTGGGACAGAGCAGAGGCGATGGCAGGCCAGGAGGAGCCAGTGGCCTGAACAAAGCTATGGAGGAATGACAGGACAGGAAATGCCTGCGGAATACCCTGGGTCAGTCTGCCCAGGGTTGAGGATATTCTGAGGAAGCAGCAGGAGAGAAGGCAGAGGATGGGGGTTCACATGTGGTTATAGAGGGTTTTTTGTTTTTTTTTTTTTAATTCAAGAGAGAAGGTGAACATGCATGCGCGAGAGGGAGAGAGCACAAAGCGGGGTGACAGGCAGAGGGAGAAGCAGACTCCCTGCTGAGCAGGAAGCCTGATACAGGGTTCCATCCTGGGACTTAGGATTATGACCTGAGCCAAAGGCAGACCCTCAATTGACTGAGCCATGCAGGTGCCCCTATAGAGAGGGTTTTAAATATCAATTTGAGATGTTTTTCCTTTGTTGTGCTTTGTTCTTTTGTTTGTTGTTTTCTAAGTAACTGGGATACAGGGTTCAAATCCCAGCTCCATTGCTGATAAGCTGTGAAACCCAGGACACATTACTCTCCTTGTTTGTAGGACAGGGGACTGAGGAAGGAAAGGACGAGGGCCAGGGAGGCAAGTTGAGAGGTTCCTGTAGTGGTCCAGACATGCAGTCATGGAAACCGCTGAGGGAGAAGTCGTGGGGATGGAGACTTAGAGACCAGTTCAAGGGGCTTGTTCCCTGACTGCATCTGGAATAGAAAGAGGATATGCACAGGTGACTTGAGAATCAGAATCCGTGAAACCTGTGAGCAGACTACCTGTCTCCTCCTAGAGAGGGGCTTAATAATAATTAGTAGTAATCACAACAATGATAATTCTAACATTTGCTGACATTTCTTGAGTACCTAGGAAATCAGCTTTATGTAATCACTTTATAGGTTATGTATCTCATTTAATCCTTATAACAACTTGTGAGATAGCTCTCCTTGTTAGGACCGTATTCCAAATGAGGCTTGGAGGGCTTCAATAACTTGCCTGGGTCCAGAGCCAGCACGTGATGAGGCTGATGTCAAATCTGTAAGCGTGGACTGCAAATCCTGGGCCTGTTCCACTTCTTTATGATCCTACACCATGGAGCTAAAAGCCTGGCTGCTTCTCTGAGCCCCTCTTGCCTGTGGAATTGCAGAAAGCTGTCCACCCCCAGACTTAGTGGAAAGGCCTCACGAGTGCAGTGCTGGGCCAGGTGCCGCCTTGTAGGGATAGAGAAGATGAAGGAGAGATGCTCTTGATTGAATGCAAACACACACAGACCAGGTCCCCAGTCCAGCACAGATAGGGGACACAGGCACCATGGATGAGGCCCATCCCACTTCATCGGCTCTGTTTTTAACTACCGGGAAGCATGCGAGAATGTTGCTTCTTCTCCATATTTTCATCCCAGCAAGTGTGTGGTCTGCAGGAATGAAAACAACAGGGAGCTCGAACTAGTCTAAATAATTACTTTTTTGAAGCACGTGAGGCTACTCTGAGTTTTGTTTTACTGTTAAGATTTCTCTTTTTAATATGCAGCATGAAAGAATAATGCTCTGTTTCTAAAATCACCCAGTAAGCTGAAGTTTGGATTTAAAAACAGATAAGAAGGTGGTTGGTTGCGATGTGAAAGGATGTACAGGTTTCCCTAGTGCGTAAGATGTGACGTCACTTTTGAAAGCTGAATCTGTACCTGCTCATTCAGGCAGATTTGTGTGTGAAGTGTGGCAGACCTGCGTTTGAAAATGTCTGCAAAGCAGGTCTTCTAAGTGCCCATTTACACAATAGAGGCACAACAATGTTGGGGTTTTTTTCCCCCTTCTTTTCAAAATCCTCTGGGCATTCATTAACCTAGATGGGCAGAAATATTTAGCCCCATACTCTCGGGTACATTGTGAATGCTTGATAAACATAAAACCCATAGTACTGACGTAGCTTGAATTACATGTTCCCTGAATAGATTTTCCACTTATGAAAAGGGAAAAAAATCAGAGAACCTAAGTAAATTGCTTCTACACCAAGTGTCCAGTCCTATAATTAGATCTAAAAAAAAAGGTCTTGCTTTTACTGCAGTGCATTAACTACCACATCTTTATTAGAATTTCTTAACAGTGTTTTGGAGAGTTGATAGAAATTTCCCTAAAAGAAAACATTTTTAAATAGAAATTCAGATATTTAGATATTCCAGAGGTCTGGTTGTTTAACATTTTAAATTCTAAGGATTGTTTCAGCCAACAAGTGATCTGGCAGACTATCTCTTCCCTCTGCTTGCCACTGTTCCCTAACTCCTTAAAAAAAAAAAAAAAAAATCACTGGAATCAATGAGAAGAACAGTCCTGCTGTTCCTGCCATGCTGGCTGCTATTCTCGGTTTGTGTCACAAGCCCACGGATAGACGACATTACCGCACAAGGAACCAGACAGAGCTTCCAGATTCCACTTTGAGGATGATGATTATGGCATGTGTGGGCTTACCCCCTGCTCTGTTATCAGATATTTGTCATCGTCTTGCTTTACTGGTCCTTTCCCTTCAGTTTGAACCCTGATGAAACAATAAATTGAAATTGAACTTAAATGCACAACCACCATGACTGTTTGCTACTGCCAGTCTGCTACATACACCTTTATTCCTCCCTGCGATTCTGCACAATAAAGTCCTCTCAAGAACCAATGCGGGGGGCACCTGGGTGGTTCAGTCAATAGAACATCTGAGTCTTGGTTTTGGCTCAGACCACAATCTCATGGGTCTTGGGATCAAGCCCTGGTCGGGCTCTGTGCTCAGCGGGGAATCTGCTCGAGATTCTCTCCCTTGCCCTTCCCCACACACACACACTCTATCTCAAATACACAAATCTTAAAAAAAAAAAAAAAAAGTACAAAGAGTAGATGCTTATAATGTAGAGGTAGATGTAACAACAAAACAATATTTTTAATAAATGAAAGCAGACCCAGAAGTGCTATTACAATGTCCACAAAGAATGTGGAATAACGCTGATTGTTTCTATTGTTCAGTCTCTCTATTTTTTCAAACACTAAAGAAAGAAGTAGCATCAGACAGTAGTCATTGCTGCCTAAAGAACCACTGTGGGGTTTGAGTTTATTAATCTTCATGTGATATGCCAGCTGTTTGGTCCCTGAGCTAAATTAGGAAGGGAACACATATTTATGCCTCTAGTACATCATTTTTCTGGTCTCCTGGATACTTGCAGGAAACTCAGAAAATTGTCTCAAGACCCAGTTAATTCCAGGTAAACTGAGTAAACTCTAAGAAGAGACACAGCAATTAATGCTAAGACCTCTAAAAGCAAGGAAAAAGTATAGATTCCACTATACATTAAAAATGTAGTAAGGTAAAAGATTAAGGTAGACATAAAAGAATTTGTCAGACACTTCCCATATATTTTAAAGCTTCTTGAGGGCAGGGACCTGTCTCATTCCTTTCAGTGACATCATCTAGTTTGACACTGAACAGATGCTCAATAAGCATTGATTGAATTAACTTGAAGGATGAGTCCTAGCATTAATATGTTTTGTGAAGTTTATTTTTCTTTTTCTTTTTTTTTTTTTTTTTTGGTTTTTTTGAAAGTAGCAAATAATTAGGCTTGTCTAAAAACCAAGAGGGGGGAAAAAAACGAAGAGAAAGTTTGTATATCAAAGTGTTTTATTTATTATTTGTTTTATGTTAGTAAAACTTGGATTAATTTCATAGGACTTACATTTAATGCCCTTTGACATTAAAGGCCAAAAAGATTATTTTATGGGACAAAAAGCCTGTGTTTTTTAAAAAGATGTATTTATTATCCAAGTAGTGCTACAGCCCAAATTTGGGAAATTGAGAAAAGAATAAATGAGTTTTGAAACTCATGATAGCTACAAAAGTATATAGATTATGCATCTGTTCATAGGGAGCAGTCACCAGACTTTAGCTCAGAGCTGTAAGATCTTCTGTCAGACTTACATGGAAATGCCAGAGTTCTAACTGGGTAGAAGTTTTTATCCAGTTGGCTTTGGGCAGAAGGTATCATTTCACTAGAATGTAAAAAATAATCACTTAATCTTAGAACTCATTGCCAGTTTAACACATTACAAGATCTGGTAAGTTCTCACTGAGTAAAGCCGCCTTTTAAAACTTTGCTTTTCAGAGATTGGTTTGTTTTTCCGTTAAGTAAATGTAACCAAGAAGAAGCCTTATTACCCTTACTCATCTGTTAAGTTCTTTCCTGCCAATACCACCACGAGTCCCGAGCTGCAAGGGTGGTTCCGTATTCACAAATCAATTAAGGTGATGCACCACATTAATAAAAAGGATAAAAACCATATGATCATTTCAATAGATACAGAGAAAGCATTTAACAAAGTACAATATCCATTCATGATAAAACCCTCAACAAAGTAGGTTTAGAGGGAGCATTCCTCAAAATCATAAAGGCCATATATGAAAAACACACAGTGAATGTTTTTCCCAGTGGGGAGAAACAGAGTGTTTCCTCTACTGTCAGGAACAAGACAGGGATGTCCGTTGTTAATTAACAGAGTACTGGAAGTCCTAGCCATAGCAGTCAGACAACAAAAAGAAAAAAAAGGCTTTTAGATCAACAAGGAAGAATTCAAACTTTCACTATTTACAGATGACATAATACTCTACATAGAAAACCCAAAAGACTCCACCAAAAATTGCTAGAACTGATAAGTGAATTCAGTAAATTCTTAGGATACACAATCAATTTATAGAAATTGGTTGCATTTCTATACACCAACAATGAAGCAGCAGAAAGAGAAATTAACCCATCAATTCCATTTATAATTGCACCAAAAACAATGAGATACCTAGGAAGAAATCTAAACCAAAGAGGCAAAAGACCCATATTCTGAAAATTATGAAACACTAAAGAAAACAATTGAAGATGACACAAAGAAATGGATTGGAAGAATAAATATTATTAAAATGTCCATACTTCCAAAGCAGTCTATACATTTAATGCAATCCCTATCAAAATACCAACAGCATTTTCCACAGAGCTAGAACAAATAATCCCAAAACTTGTATGCAACCACAGAATACCCCCAAGTAGCCAAAGCAAACTTGAAAAAGAAAAGCAAAGCCGGAGGCATCACAGTCCGGACTTCATGTTATACTACGAAGCTGTAGGGATCAAGACTACAGAAATGAACCCACAACTCTGTAGTCAATAAACCTTCAACAAAGCAGGACAGAATGTCCAGTGGAAAAAAGACAGTCTCTTCAACAAATGGTGTTGGGGAAACTGGACAGCAACATACCAAAGAATAAAACTGGATCACTTTCTTACACAATACACAAAAATAAATTGAAAATGGATGAAAGACCTAAATGTGAGATAGGAAATCATCAAAATCCTTGAGGAGAACACAGGCAGTCACCTCTTTGACAATGGCTGTAGCAGCTTCTTTCTAGGTATATCTTCTGAGGCCAGGGAAGCAGAAGCAAAAAATAATTATTGGGACTTCATCAAAATAAAGAGCTTCTGTACAGTTAGGGAAGCAATCAACAAAACTGAAAGGCAACCTACAGAATGGGAGAAGATAGTTGCAAATTGCATATCTGAAAAAGGGTTATTATCAAAAATAAATGAAGAACTTATAAAATTCAATGTCCAGAAAATGAATAATCCAGTTTAAAAATGGGCAGAAGACATGAATAGACATTTTTCCAAAGAGGACATACAGATGGCCAGCAGACACATGAAAAGATGCTCAGCATCACTGATCATCAGGGAAATACAAATCAAAACAACAATGAGATTCCATCCTACTCCTGTCAGAATGCCTAAAATCAACAACACAAGAAACAGTAGGTGTTGGCGAGGATGCGGAAAAAGAGGAACCCTCTTGCACTGGTGGTGGGAATGCAAACTGGTGCAGCCACTGTGGAAAACAATATGGAGGTTCCTCAAAAAATTAAAAATAGAACTACCCTATGATGCAACAATTATGCTACTAGGTGTTTACCAAAAGAATACAAAAATGCTAATTCGAAAGGATACATGCATCCCAGTGTTTACAGGAGCAATATCTACAATAGCCAAATTATGGAAACAGCCCAAATCTCCTTCGACTGATGAATGGATGAAGAACGTGTGTGTGTAATGGAATATTACTCAGCCATAAAGAATGAAATTTTGCCATTCACAAGGACATGGATGGAGCTAGAGAGTATTATGCTAGGTAAACCAGTCAGAGAAAGATAAATACCATATGATCTCGTTCGTATGTGAAATCTAAGAAACAAAACAAACAAGAAAAGGGGGGGAAAAGAGGGAAGATGAGAGAGAGATAGGCAGACCGAGAAATAGACTCTATACTATAAGAACAAACTGATGGTTACCAGGGGGGAGGAGTGAACTAGGGGATGGGGATTAAGGAGGGCACCTGTTGTGATGAGCCCTGAGAGTTGTATGGAAGTATTGAATCATTTGTACACCTGAAACTCTTACACTCTATGTTCACCTACTGGAATTTAAATAAAAACTAAAAAAATAATGCTACCACGGGGCGCCTGGGTGGCTCAGTGTTAAGCCTCTGCCTTCGGCTCAGGTCATGATCTCAGGGTCCTGGGGATCGAGTCCCACATCGGCTCTCTGCTCGGCAGGGAGCCTGCTTCCTCCTTTCTTTCTCTCTCTCTGCTTGGCTCTCTGCCTACTTGTGATCTCTCTCTATCAAATAAATAAAATCTTTAAAAAACAAGAATAATGCTACCACAAGAAAGATGGGAAGAAAGGAAAAGCTGGTCTTTTCACTCTTGGAGGACAGGGGACCCTGCTGATGAGGTCATCATTTTACCTTTGGTTGGTGTCCTTGAGTTTTTACTCAACTAATTTCTTGTTCCTTTGTTTTTTAGTATGTTACATCATTTAGACATATCATCTATGTGATAGAATAAAACATCAGAATAAACGCCCACTGATTGTGTCTGAGTGTTGTGCTCTTATTGCATTGTTTTGTTTCATTTTGCAGTAACAACGCTATATCCACCCTTGGTCTGAAATCCCTCCACCCCTACTGTTTCCACATGTGCTACAGGCATGGGTGTGAGTGTATGTATGTAGATAAATAGTTCCCATCATTACAGCTAGTGTCTTTTCTTTCCATTTCTAGTTCTCCGTCTTTTTAAAATCATTTATGTTTTATCACTAAAAAGCTACCCAAACCATTTCTTTACACCCAATTTGCACATCTTGTTTGTAGGTTAGAGTGAGTACCTATAGAGAAACCTTGAAACTGAGTTCAAACCCACAAAGATGATCCCTTCTGGGGACTACTGCATTCTGCTTTGTGTTCTCTCCTTGGCTATGGTTTTTATTTGCCTGTATCTTCCACATTGTAAGCATGTTTGAAGAAATGTGCAACATAGAACTCAGTAGTTAGGAGTCCTGCACATCAGAAGCTATACCTTCTATCTCTTCCTCTTGGATAAAATCATGCATCAACATCAGTTTTTTATATAATACAAATACCTGCATGTGTATGCACATATATGTGTGTGTGTGTATTTGTGTGTGCATGTATAGATGGATAGATGGACACAATATATTCAAAGCACGTGTTTATTTTTGCCTTTTCCCAAAGCAGCAGGTTAGATAACGGAATCTGAGAGTTAGATGCGGGTCTGTCTGGGTGACCTCCTCGGCTGAGCCCCTGGGACTTATTGGTGTAGATGGTTTGCTTACTTTCCCCATCCTTTCTTCTTTGTTTCCATAGATAAACATCATTCAGGGAATCGTGGCAGAAATCAACACCAAGACTGGGGAATCTGAGTGCCGCTATTATAAAGAGCGGCTTCTTTACTTGGAAGAAGGCCAGAAAGACTCTCTAATCGACAACTCAAGAGTGCTGTGTTGTCATGGAGAACTGAAGAATAATCGAGGGGTGGTGAGTGGCTACTCTCCTTCCGGGGTCTGGTCCTCTGCCTCCCCCCGCGCTTAATCCATTTAATGCCCAGCCTCCTGTTACTCTGCCTTCCCTACCCAAGGTCACATTCTTCAGACAAAAATTGCTTTCCAGTGTCTTTTGTATCTTAGGATCCCATATGTATATGGATATATATAATTATATACATTGTGTGTGTGTGTGTATTTATCTATTATAATTTATATATAAATAACATGTTTCTAGCTTATAATATATATTTATATATATTACACAAAATATATATTATATATATTTTATAATTTCACAACCAGTATATATTCAGGAAGAATTTCGGGACCAACAGAGGGTTGCCAATTATGTTTTGTTTGAGCATGACCTTCAATAACAAATACAAAACAATTAACAACATCTCCTCCGGCTTTGATATCAGAAAACAAGGGATGATTTTAACAAGATGCTAAAAGTATATAATCTCAGAAAAACAGCTCTTAAGTTGAAACTCTTAGCTTTATGAGAAATTCTTTGCTTTTTTTTTAATGGATTGGTACCCATCCACAGACTGCCATTTTAAAACCAGTTTTTGTTTTAAAACTAGCTGTATAACTAACTCTGCCCAACTTCCTGGCTTTTATTCCTAAGTATATTTTGAACTTGTTCCTCCTCTTCTATCATAGCAACTTGGATGGATCTCCCTGGGACACTTACTACAGTGGGCTGTAATTATCCACCATATGTCTGTCAATATCTTCCATTATGTATGATCTTTTAGGATAGAGACCAGGTCTTATTAATCCCCAGCACCTATTATGGGGACCTGGCATGTACTAAGCACTCAGTAATGTTAGGTCAATGAGTGAGTGAATGAATGAGTAAATGTTTGTAAAAAGAAAGGATGGATTTGAAATTTCATGAGAGCTCAAAATTCATTTAATTCACCAGGTTCTTTTTATGTGTAGCCAGTAGAAATTAATACTAATATGTCTATGATATTTTATAATTTAAACATATTATACATAGAAATGTATATTTATATAATATATAGATTTTATTATATATAACAAATATTTAAATTCAATGTTGGGAAAGCCATTGAAAAAGAGAATCTCTTCTTTGATCACATTTTGTCTTCAGTATCTAGTCAACTCTTAGAATGAACGCCAAAACTAGAATAGTTCTTGATAAAGCTTTGATGATTTAAGGGACAACCTTTTGACCTGGACTTTGGAGTGGCATTTGTGAGCAGGCTTGGAAATGTTATTTGAAATCACTGAGTGTCTGTCGTAGTGCCCATTATGAGAGCTGCTGGGGATCCAACTAGCCGGTGGTCCAGCAGAGATACTGAGACTGGTCATGACCACTGCTTGAAGAAGTGTTTCTGTTTGACTACAGAATTATTGGTTGCTAGAAAGCAGCATTCTGCTTCTTGCTGATTTTCAGAAAACTCTAGTGGACTTCTAACGTCTGATACTCTGGCATCTAATGTCTGATACTCTGGCTTCTTGAACATTCTTTCTCAGAAGCCCTGTGGGAAATGGTTGGGAAGATACATCACTGGATGGGATGAGGCCTGTTCTCTTTCTGTCCCTCAGTCAAGGACTGAGACTCCCTAGTTAGATGTGCCTCAGGCATTAGAGATGAACTGTAGTTCATTTTTCAGCAGACAGATTTTTGAAAAACAAAGATAGCAGTTGGGATAGGAGGTATGTTTTATTGTTTTTCTCAGTAGAATGATGGAAGTCTTTATGAACAGTCCTGTGTCAGAAGAAAAGCTCATTAGTTTGATGGCTAAAAGGAGCTGAGACTAAGAAGGGAAATTCTCGGTTAACATTCATAAATAAGGGATGTTTTTAAAAGGTTTCCTAGACAATCTGAGTTCAAATTACCTACCTTGGCTAGAGGGTTGATTACAGTAGAAACAATATTTTAAAAACCTAATGTTTAATATATACAACAATATCCAATTCCTCCCCTACCCATCCCCCAAAAAAGGCTTAACATTCTTTCTATATCCCCCCTCCAAAAAAAAAAAAAAAAAAGCCCTTAACTTGGTTATTTTTTGCTTTACTCTGTTTAAATGCACTTTTGATAAACTCTCACTCCTCAATCTCCTCCCATGCAGTAGAAAATTATCAGTTTTATTTCCACCATCCAACATTTGCTTGAGCTTTAATTTCTATAGATGTGTCTATACACATGTTATTTCTATACATGTGTCTGTGTCTATCTGTGTATGTCAGAGTGGGTGTCGGGGCGGGGGGTCCACCAGTTTCTTTTCTCCCGAATGTAAAATTGTCTGATAATACTGAATGTGCTTCCCCTGCCCCAAATCAAGATTCTGATGTGAGTTTCCACTGGGTTGAGACCCCTGGGTTCACATTCCCAAATATCTCCACCAGAAAACCAGAACCAGCTGCAAAAGTTGTAGAACTTTTCATTTCTGTCCATCCGCATTTCCAAACTGTGAGAAGAGTCTAGCACTAGGAAGGGAATGGGGCCAATTTACCCGGGCTCCACCCAGCGAAATTGCTTTCATGATGTGGTTTGAGACAAGCCTTTATTTTGGAGATTTCTTTTCACCCACAACACACACATCAGTCATCAGCCTTTTAAGCACAACCTCTTCAGAGAACTGAGGTTCCAAGGAACATAACCGAGAAGGACCAGTTCTTTGATCATCTTTCTTTGTGGCTCTGACAGCACACTCTGGTTCCCTCGGGAATGGGCAATGTTCAGAGTTGGAGTGCCTGGATGGAGCTGATACTCAGTTCTGTGGCTTAAGGAACAAGTGTTTTTATGAGTTTGGGAAACAAAGATTAATATCAGGCTTTGAAATACCATCCGTATCCTTTAAAAAAAAAAAAAGATTTTATTTATTTATTTTTTTGACAGAGATCACAAGTAGGCAGAGAGGCAGGCATGGAGGGGGACAGGCTCCCCGCTGAGCAGGGCTTCCCCCGCTGAGCGGGGCTCAATCCCAGGACCCTGAGATCATGACCTGAGCTGAAGGCAGAGGCTTTAACCCACTGAGCCACCCAGGCGCCCCTCCATTTGTATCCTTCATAGACTATAGTTCATTATGATCTCTTAGGGTTATATTGGGTGCTATAAGCCAAAACCCCGGGTGGAGGTACTCACTTCTTTTTCCTTCACTGTTCCCTTTATTCTGTCCCCCCTTCTCACTTTTTTTTTTTCTTACGGAGGCTGGAGGCTCTGTGTGTCTGCACAGGCTGTGAATATGCACTATGCATGGTGTCCCTGCCGCCCGCAGTCCCGGCCGCAGATGTCTGTAGGCAGAAAGGCCTTCTCTGTGGGGGCCGCAGGGAGGCACTCCTCCAGGAAAGGCACTAGATGCATCTGGAAATACCTCCAAGATGCCCGACTTCTGTTCTGGAGGTAGACCTGAGCCTGAAAGTTGATAATACAATGTGAAGCTGGTACCTGGGCTCTTCTTACCCACAGAAGTCCCCTAATCCACTCAATAGACTGTTGCTTAGGGAAATCCTGTGGATTCTTTTCTTCTAGAAACTGCACGTTTTCCTGTTCCAAGAAGTGCTTGTGATCACTCGAGCTGTCACCCACAATGAACAGCTCTGCTACCAGTTGTACCGGCAGCCAATCCCTGTAAAGGACCTTCTCCTGGAAGACCTGCAGGATGGAGAAGTGAGGCTGGGCGGCTCCCTGCGTGGGGCGTTTAGCAACAACGAGAGAAGTACGGATGGCTGTCGGCCTTGACCTGTTGAATGTCTTTGTTTGTGGTGCTTCAGAGGGCGTGTCTGGCTGCTAGAGAGAGAAGTAGCTGTGGCCTTGGAGTCACACTACATTCCAGTGCTGTCTCATTACTCACTGCTTGTGTAACCTTGTGCCGCTTCTGCAAGCCTCAGTTTGCCATCTGTAAAATGGGCATGTATTCGTACCTACTTTATAAGGTTGTTATAAGGATTAAGATGCTGCAAGTGAACCCGTCTGCACATAACAGGTGCTCCTTGCATTCCCTCTCCCTGTCTCCTTCCACGGGATGCAAGCTTGCTTAATACCAGACAGCCCCTATGTCAATAGGGGGTTGCTCAGTTGCTTACTGGTGGCTCTTGTTGAGCCAGGAGAATCGTCCCTAAAAAGGATTAAGAATGGTCACCTGGGTTGAGGATTCATGTGTAATTACTCTAATGGGTTTCTCTAACTTGAGACTTAAACAAATTAACCAAGAGAAGCTACAATGGCAGTGTTTTCTGAGTATCTTGCATGTGTCATTCCAGGCACTAGTATACACTGGTAAACTGAACAGTCAAATTCCTTGCCCCTATGGAGCTTACACTGTGATAGAGGAGATAAAGGATGAATAAATATTCAAGTAGCGTTAAGAGAACTAAAACCCTATATGGGGCAGGTAGGGATAACAGTTGGGGATTTGCTTTAGAGGAAATGATCCGAAAAGTCTTCCTTGAGAAAGTGACATTTGAGCCTCTTGGGTTAACAGGGGCATTGTATTGTCAACGTAATTAGCATGTACTGCCCCTGACCTGCTCATCAGTCCCTCCGCCCTGGTGGTGGTGGTGGCAACTTCTATTCCCTGAGTACAGGCTATGTGTCAGGTGGTGTAGAAGCACATGCATTACCACTAACTTTAGCCCTCATAATAATCTTATAAGATAGGTCCTCTTCGTTTCTCCCGTTTTACAAGTAAGGACACTGAAGACACACAGAAGTTAAGGCACTTGCCCAGGAGCAAAAAGTGGAACCTGAATTTATCCAAAGTGGTGGTTCCCAAACCGTTGGCTCCAGGGATAGTGCAAGGGGACTGATGAACACACGCGCTTCCGTGAGCCAAGCGTTGCACGTGGCTCACAGAGCCTGTTCTGTGTCAGTTAAACTAAACAAAATGTCTCCTGAATGGTGTGCTACCATGTTTTTAAATACACGTACCTCCTGTGGAGATAATGAAAAAAAATTTTTAAATTTTTATTTGTGTTGCTTGAGAATGTATTTTTATTTTAAAGTGAAGCTGAATTTATAACGGCTCTGAGTCTTTGCATATCCTCTCAGTCCTTTAGGTACTGTATATATAAGTACTATTATCTCTTGGAGGGTCAGGGGCATGGTTTGCTATTACACAGAGCTTCTCGAACTTGAGAAGGCTCTAACTTGGGGCCGTGGTTGAAAGTCCAGATTATCAGGCCCACCTTAGACCTATTGAATCTGAGTCACTTAACCGTAGGGTCCGGGCGTGTATGTTTTTAACCAGATCGTAGGAGATTTTAATACATGGGAGATTATAATTTGCTGGCCTCAGGGCAACCGAGAGCTACTCTGATGTCAGATCCAGGTGCTTGATGGCTGCAGAGTAGAGCTGCGCCATGTCCTGGACCAGTGGGACACATTTTGTAATTAATTAATGATGTCTGCCCTAGGTACATGGGTTTCGTGTCACTCTATAGGTTACCTCTGGCCTAGGAGAAATACCTGTCTGTTGACCTTTTTTATATGTATTTTTCATTTCTAGTTAAAAACTTCTTCAGAGTAAGTTTCAAAAATGGTTCTCAAAGTCAGACCCACTCACTACAAGCCAACGACACCTTCAACAAGCAGCAGTGGCTCAACTGCATTCGTCAGGCCAAAGAAACCGTTCTGTGCGCTGCCGGGCAAGCTGGGGTGCTGGACTCCGAGGGACCGTTCCTAAACCCCACCCCCGGGAGCCAGGAGCCCCAGGGAGACACAAAACTTGAGCAGATGGACCAATCGGACAGTGAGTCAGACTGTAGTATGGACACTAGCGAGGTCAGCCTCGACTGTGAGCGCATGGAACAGACGGACTCTTCTGGTGGGAACAGCAGGCACATCGAAAGCAACGTCTGACAGAGGCACGTGTACTTCCTGGAAGCAGCCCTGTGTCTTACCTGTACAGTATTTGCATTCCACACACGGAACGGTTTGGAGAAGCACTTTTTAATACTTTGGTGACCGTGTTGCCCCTCGTCTCTTGTATCTGTATCTTTGTCCCTAGTACTGTAACTGCCAGTCTGTCTGTAAGCTGGGGTCTGTGGCAGCTCTTACCCTGTGTTGCATTTCACAAGTGTCTGGATGGATGGAGAGGTACTTGAACAAGTTACTTTCACTTGTCCTGCTGGATTTTAAAAAATAGAAAAGAATCTCTAAACTACTGTTTCGTGTAGATTGCTTAAAAAAGAACCCTCCCATGCTTCTCTAGTGCTTTCCTGGCTCTTTGACATGATAGCTGAAGGCATGGAATTTACAGGGCCTGGCAAACGGGGCACGAAGAAGTCACTTGTGTATCGTGACAGTATGTGCAGGAAAATGGGAAAAGATCGATCCTTGCAATGAGCTTGGTTCAATGTTATTCAACCAGAAAGCATGAAAACATCCCCTGGAGATGCTGGACACTTAATGGTGCAAAGGAAGAAGCACTGTGTTGACCTTGCAGTGTCACCTAGTGCAAATTTGATGCAATAATCTATTAGGACGTGCGGTAGTGTCTGACCTTAAAAGGACCAGCACGAAGGCAGCCGCCAGCTCTGGATCTTGAACTGAAAGGCAGTTGCACCAGGAGGTGTCTGTCCTAGTTGCTGGCTTGCCTTAGAGAGCCATTTCTGGCCTAAACCAGAGCAGAACTCAACAGGCCTGGGAAGGAACACCTGGCAGAATAATAAGGAGGCCCACCATCATTTTGTTTCATGTGCCAAGGCCTACTCCTATTTTGGAGCATTGAGGAAGAGACCGTAGGTGAGTCAGTGACTCTGTTTACAGAAACATGTGGAAGAAGAGTTTGGAAGAAGTGCTTCATCATGACCTTAGGCAGGAAGCATTACGAGAAAATAAAGTCGGTGCCCTTCCGGGAAAGGCCAGAGCCTTGGGTTTTCCTGCTCTTCTTTTAGGTCACCGCTTTGCCACCTCCAGCTCTGTATCAGAGTCGTAATCACATTCTCCATCGGCCAATTTTAATTAACTCGATGATTAATTAGGATCAGTTAGCCAAACTAGTAACCTCTTTGTCTAGCCTTGATTTACAGTGCAGGGTGGACGGCCGACCTTTAAAAAAAAGTTAACTGAATACACAGAAAAGCTCCCTGTGAGTGTAAATATTAAGGATGACCTGTGCAAAATTATTCCCACACCAGCACTAGTAGTCATGAGTCTAAATTATTGCCAAAAAGTTTTTTTTTTAAATCTTCTGTGTCTTTCGAGTTTACAGAAAGCAGTCAATGCTATGTTATCATTTTATTATGTACATCTAACATGTGCATTCGAAGAAGCTGTGTGACAAGATGTATCAATATAAAAACAATGTAATATTACTTATTTTTCAAAAATGAAAAAATGTGGTCAATTTTACCCTGTAAAACATATTTCTGTATTTATAGATTTTAAACATGGTGAATTTTTTTTTCTATTATGAGTTTATTTAAAATTGCTTTGTTTCTCAAATTGTTATTGATTTAGCAAGTGAATGAACTGCTAGAAGCAAACATAAGCTGAGAACCGATGTCTGATGGAGGGGGAGAGACTGGATCATTGTCTACAGGAGCCATTGGCCACTTTGGCCAACATGTTGAGACAAGAAGTCTGTCAAGTGCTGGCCTAGGGGAAGAAAGTGAATGTTTTGATGAAATGAATGTTTTTGTATATGGCCTTAAACTTTTCTGGAAGCATTTCAAATAAATTACATTAAAATGTCATCCTCTCTGTGTACAGTATGTGCCCAAATGTCAAATCTCAGCTATCTTCCTGGAAAGTTCTTTCTAGAATTTTTGCTTGTTGTGCCCAAATACGAACTCTAAAATAGGGTGCAGGGTGAAATAAATGCTTTGATTTGATCTATCACAACTTTTGCAGAACTCCTATTTCTAAGATCTGTTTTTTCAGACATTCTCTAGTACTACATTTATTCATTTATTCATGTTCAACCACTGTATCTTGAATCTATACTGTGTGTAAAGGCATAATTGTGACAGGGAAAAAAACATTGAATTTTACTGCTAGGATAGGTGACTGTTGAGAATCTTGAGGCCAAATAGGAGAAGTCAAATTCCACTTTAAAATTCTTACTGGAAATTCAGGCCACTTTTTCTTTAGTTAATAGTTTGGGGGCAGCTGTATGGCTCAGTTGGTCAAGGCCTGACTCTTGATTTTGGCTCAGGTCATGATCTCAGGGTGGTGGGATCGAGCCCCACATCAGGCTCTGTGTTCAATAGGGGAGTCTGCTTGAGATTCTCCCTCTCCCTCTGCCCATCCCCTGGCTCTCTCTCTAAAAATAAATAAATAAATAGTTTTTTAAAAATGGTTAGTTTTATTTCCTCCAAAAAGTAGTCTTTGTAAAATTTTATTTATTTTTTTAGAGGGCGGGGGAGAGGAAGAGAGTGAGAATCTTAAGCAGTCTCCACATCCAGCATGGAGCCCAAAGCGGGGATCCCAAAACCCTGAAATCATGACCTGGGGCAAAACCAAGAGTCAGACACTTAACCGACTGAGCCACCCAGGCACCCCCAAAAGGTAGCCTGTAGATGAAAAGACTAAACACTTTTAAGCTATTGGTTGCCAATTCTCAGTAGCAGGGTGCGTGGGTAGCTCGATAAGGCCAGTAGATAGTCTCATCTTTGTCATAACCTCTTACCATTTTAACATGTTATTAATTCTAAGATTCGTCTAGATATTCACATAAATGTAAGTCCAATTTTTTTTTTCCAAATGAAAACTCACTCCTCCTCATTCCCTTCTTTCTCCTCCTTTCCTTTCCATCCTCCTTGTCCTTCTTCAATGCGTCTTTGGACGTTCCCTCCACCTCTGACTACCATGGTCGTAGTGACTTTGATCCTGGAGCCCACATCCCCAACCAATGTACTGGCATGTTGCGGGTTAGTGCAAATGGCTGAGGGCTAAATGGTTTTCCTCAGTCTATTCTCAAGATGTTACTTTACACATAACTAGATGTAATCCTTACTGTCAAAATGAGAAATCATAAGCAAAGAAGAGTCAGAACCAGCAATTTCGTGCAAAATTAGAGTGTGGTTTCAGCTCCTGGGATGTGGTCACCACCAGGGACTGCTTTCATTGCCATTCCTGGCACAGTCTCCAGCAGCCGAGAATGCAAAACTCTTCATTACAACAGGGTGGTTTCCCCAAAGTCTCTGTGGGCACAGGAAGCTACAACCCACTGTCTTGGAGAGCAAGCTGTTCATTCACATCCTGTCTGTGTCCACCTTTTACTAATTCTCCAAAGGCCTGAGGACTCTCAGGGAGATTTGATCACACATTTCTATGTGGGCCATTTTCCCCACCTGATTCCCCCTGGTATTGTAGAAAACCCCCTCGGAGCACCCCTTCTCACTGCTGCAATTGGTTCACTAAACTGATACTATCTTTGTTTATTGACAGAATGCTGGAATTACGGTACTGAAAGGGAATTTGAAGAGGGTGACTCAAGCCCAAACCCACCAGAAGGAATCTGGAGATCGTGAAGATTGAACACCTTGCCCATAGGAACACACAATGAGGAAAGGTGACCGTGTTCACTGTACCTCCTGGGCCTTTGCAAAGAAAATAATCATTGCTCATCGTGTCACATCTCCTTCCTCTAGGCTGGGGTAGCACTGAGTTCAGGTCTATAGACCCACCGAGACTAAGCCCTTCTTCAACTGACTCGGGAAGTGTAGCAAGGAATTAGAAACCATGTTCTGTACCTTGAAGAGCGGATCATCCAGGTCAGGAAACTGGTCGGGCATTCGAAATGACTTGTCCATTTACACATAGGTGTTCACACACAAACACACCTCAGTGTTAATGAACTGTGCTACTCATCTGTGAAAAGTGTGAAGAATATCGTCTTGCAGGTGTTGTATTCTCTGTATCTGTTCCCCTCTCTGTGAAGGGACGCAATAAGCCCTGGGGCCATTTGAAAAGTGAGAGGGAATGTGAAATCACTTTGAAAAGGGGTAAGAGCTAGTAGTATTCATTGTCGTTATTTCATACTTCAAAATTTACATGCAGTGTTATGAAATTTCTCAGAAGTATGGTGTTGGTCTTTTTCATTCATTGTGCTGCGTCATTGGAAGAGGGGTGAGTGGTCTTCTTAATCCAGCAAATCTGGAGTATTTTTTGTATTTTTTTCTTTGGTATTTTGCTTTTCACAATTTTCTGGGTTGTTTTTTTTTTTTTTCTTTCAGGAACCCCAGAAAGATAGATTTTGAACTTTGTGGATTTGGTCTCTTCTTCCTGATTGGTTTTCAAATATTCTTACCCTTTATTCTTACTTTTTATTTCCTTATATTTTATTCTCTCTCAGGGACACTTACTTGCCTTTATCTCATAACCCTTCTATTAATTTGGGGAGAAGTTTAGCTATAACAGTTTTTTTAAAGATTTTATTTTGGGGGAGCCTGAGTGGCTCAGTCAGTTAAGCTTCTGACTCTGGATTTTGGCCCAGGCTCATGAGATCAAACCCCATGTTGGGCTCCACAGTCAGTGAGGAGTCTGCTTGGGATTCTCTCTCCCTCTCCCTCTGCCCTCCCAACCCCATGTGTTCTCTCTCTCAAATAAATAAATAAATAAATCTTTTTAAAAATGTTTTAATTTTTACATGATCTTGATACCCAAATGGGGCTTGAGCTCACAACCCCGAGATCAAGAGTCATATGCTCTACCAACTGAGCCAGCCAGACGCCCCAATCACAGGTTTTATTGCTAAATTTTTTCCCCTTTTTCTATAATTTTTCTTATTCTTTGAGTATCTTGTTCTTGTTTAGTAAAAGCGGTATCTTTTTTTTTTTTTTTTAAGATTTTACTTATTTATTTGTCAGATGGAAAAAGAGTGAGAGCGCACACAAGCAGGGGAATAGCAGGCAGCGGGAGAAGCAGACTCTCAGCTAAGCAAGGAGCCTGATGTGGAACTTGAGCCCAGGACCCTGAGATCATGACCTGAGCCAAAGGCGGACGCTTAATGAACTGAGCCACCCAGGTGTCCCATGAAAGCAGTATCTTCTCTAAACTCAGAGCATCATAGTTTTGTTGATTTTTTTTTCTTTTTGTATTGTTTGTTCATCTCAGGATAATAATAGTAATTTATAGTATTTGGAGGAGGATTAAAGGAGCTAATATGTCCATGGATGCGATGCCAGATAACTTCATTTACTTCTCCAAAGCCACTCTC